GCCTCGCTGCGTATGCAATATGGCTTGCGGCAAAGACGTTTTCAGTGAAAAGGAAAAGCAGGATGACAAAATCATTTCTAACCCCAAATATTATGGGATCAGAGTGCTTTTCTTCAAAATCCGATGTGTCGAGCTCAAACGCGTGCCTAGATATTGCATTTTGAGTCAGTAGGTCACTATGGTGTAAAATGTACAGTATCATGAAGGCCATCACTGTGTGTGTGAAGCTTCATATGGTAAAATTAGATCTCTGGCCCAAAACTACTCCATCATCACTCATGAATATTTCAGACCCCCAACATAACTTGGCTGTATGAAATTTTTATTTTACAAGTGTGTAAAGATATGCCTCAGAAATCGTAAATATTTATGCCATTTGGTTTGCGCCTCAGTTATCTAAAATGATTCCCGGGTGTGGATTCTGTGTAGTATCACATCTCTGAGCAAGGCTTTGCCAGAAACATTACTAATTACTATAATTAATTCTCTATGTTTGGCATCTGTGCATGTCACCTAATTAGCAGATGTGGTTCTATTCACTCATATTTCAATGGTTTGCCGGGTAAATTAGATGTGCAATAAGGCTCTTTTGACCGTCTGATCCTTGAAAGGCAATGACAACATATTTTCAAAGAACATACGCGAGATTGGTTCATTGTTTTTTATCATAGTATACAGCTTTCATCTTTTGGGAACAAATACTTCGAAATGACTGATGAAATGTTCTGTCTTATATTGATAACTTCTTGGCCTTTCAATGCTGTGATAACGTGTTCATTTCTTCATTTATCACACAAACTTGACTTCAGAGAGATGTGATGGAGAAACAATGAATGGAAGAGACTCTTATTATGAAAAATCACAATAACCACTGGATCTGCACAAAGAGAGCAACTTCAAATTCTGTTAATGCACTGTATTTAATTGGCCATTAATAATAATGTTGTCACAGTCCTTCGTCTGCACCATCCTGTCTGCGTCTCCAGCACTACACTTCCCATGATCCTCTTGTCTGCACACCTGAACCCACTCCCTCATCAGCCTCCCGTTCAGCGTCCTGTTCATCTGTTTCACCTGTCTTCACCTCATTATGTTTGATTCTTCCGTGTATTTAGTTCCCTCAGTTTCATTCTGTCTTGGTCGGTCAATGTTTGATGTTACTCTGTGTACCCCGTCTTCCTGCCTGTATTCAGAATTAAATATATATTGTCTTCATTTGACCCTGGACTCAGCCTGTCCTTCTGCCTGCACACACCGTGACAAATGTCATATTGAGTCTGTAATGTAAGTAGAATTAATTTGAAGTAATAAAAAAAGCTACGCATGCAGGCTTTTAAAAGTACACACTTTACTATCTGTGTGGATGGCATCATTCGTTCGCCACCACAGAAGATAATTTTTGACCGACACATTGTAAAAAATATTTTCAAGATTTGTTATCACAACATATTTTCTTTTGTCAAATCAACTTTATAATAATTTATTTAGTTGAGATAACTTATTATTTTGAGTTTCTGATGGTTAAATTAATCTACTTCATTGTATTAACTCGCTTTTTCCAGTTCAATCAACCTAAAATGTTTAAGGCAACCCAGGTTACTTACTTTTTTAAGTTAAACCAACAATATTTTTTTACATTGTAGTAATCACAATTTTTTTTTTATTTTGTCAAATACACTTAAATAATTTATTTAGTTCAGATAACTTATTCTTTTGAGTTTCTGATGGTAAATTAATCTACTTCATTGTATTAACTCACTTTTTCCAGTTCAATCAACTTAAAATTTTAAGGCAACCAGGTTACTTACTTTTTAAGTTAAACCAGCAATATTTTTTTACTTAATAAATATACATATGTAAATATTTTGAGCATGTAAGGTGACCGACTTAAATGCTTTATTCGCTGTGCCTATGGGAGTGGGAGGGGCTAAAGAGCTCATCTTGTAAGTGTTGCTTGTGGTGACTCTCGGATTTACTGTTTTCTGTACAGCATCATGGCTAATGTCGTTTTTCACCATGAATTCAGCTCCTAAAAACTATTATTTTAAAAATGAGTTATATAATGCAGGCTGACGGCTTCAAAAGAAGCAATTTTATGGATTCACAACCTCGTAGCACACAGTAGGGCTTTAAAGTTTTACAAGTTATCATTAAAAATCTATTTCTCTGGACAAAATGAATTGAGTTTTTACTTCTAGAGCCCGACTGCTGAACTCTATAACTATAAATTATGCATAATTACATGCAACTAAACTTAAAGCAAACCTAAATCCTGACCCTAAAACAGTTAGTTGATATTACTGTATTAAATGTATAATTACAGACATTGTATAAGAACTCCTTAAAGGTGCAAGACTCAAGTTTTTACTCAAACTCAAAGCATTATGCTAAAATACAAACGTCATGGCAACACCCTGGCAACCACAAATTTTACACTTGTAAACGCCACATTTTCTTCAGATAATATCAAAGTGTAGTTTTGATTAGTATACTGAGGTGCGTCGTCACCTCACAGCAGAGCACTGTAATTGTGTTTGACTTTCCCCCAAATGATAGATTGCACACCGTCATAAAACATAAATCATGTTTGCCTGCAGGTGTGTCCTTGATACTGCATCATATTTGGATGAGGCACTACAGTGTCGCCTTGTAATGTTTCATATGATAATATCAATGTACAGTATTTAGTATACAGTATAATTGTCACATCCATATGAAATGTTTTCAATGTTTAATGTTTTATAATATACAAGCAACGATGAGCAGTGTTTAAAGGGAAGAGGAATATATTGTGTTATATTCTTGGCCTATCAGCGCAGCGGCATTTGATCAGAACATCAACATGTCATGGCTAATACCAAAATAGAATGTGTTGCTTATGACATTTTGTCATAAGATACGGTGAGCAAGAACCTCCACATCAATGAAACACATGGCAGACTACAGCTTCAGATAGCTCTAAGTGACATTGATAACAGCAGCATTATCACAAAATTGTGAATCTGAAGCTGGATAAGAGTGCATAGAAAAGAAAACTGCCTTTTTTTTTGAAGACTTTTCTTTAAATGAACGAATGAAACGTGTGTTTTTTTTCAGGCTCAACTATTAAATCTACCCATATCTGTCTTGAATTTACTAAATTGTGATCTTGCTCTTAAAAAGTGCTGTTGTGGTACCATGGTACAGGGAAAAATGGTATGTTTCAAGGCACTGAATGATTAGCATATTCATATGCATTGGCATTGAAGATTACCATATTTATGTTCATTTGCATTTACATTGGACTCCAAGGAAACCATGGCACTTCAAAAGTCAAGGCACATTTATGCAGCATGTTATACATGTTTAAAAAGCAGCTAAACAGGACAATTAAAATGTTATTGTAAAATGTATCAATTATGAAAACAAATAAATTTCCGGCTGTAAAGCTGCTCTATAGAAAATGAAAGTGCTCGATTTACTTCAATGAGTCAGTTATTGAACTGAATTGGAACAATGTTGCAAAGTTCATTGATTATGAAACAGGTTCAATTTCAGCTACGAGCAGCCTTAGCAGAAAACATGTCATGATTCAGCTCCAGTCAGTTCAATGTTGAATCAATTCAGTCCAATAACCTATGAAGGTAAAAGAGTTGCAAAACTCACGAGGACGTATGTGAATTGGAGAACTCGTACAATAAATATTCGTACGTTTATGCTAAAATGTCGCAGCTCCAATGTGAAAACCTGTGAATACAAATCTTCATTTTACAGGTTTTCACATTCACTATAAAAAATATTGTTGGTTTAACTAAGTAACCTCGTTGCCTTAAAAAGTTAAGTTCATGAAATGGAAAAAGTGAGTTAATACAATGAAGGAGATTAATTTAACCATCAGAAACTCAAAATTATATGTTATCTGAACTAAATAAATTATTTAAGTTGATTTGACAAAAGAAAAAATGTTGTGATTACTACACTGTAAAAAAATATTGTTGGTTTAACTTAAAAAAGCAAGTAACCTGGGTTGCCTTAAAATTTTAAGTTGATTGAACTGGAAAAAGTGAGTTAATACAATGAAGGAGATTAATTTAATCACCAGAAACTCAAAATATTATGTTATCTGAGTTACATAAATTATCTAAGTTGATTTGACAAAAGAAAAAAAAAAATGTTGTGATTACAAATCATAATTTTTTTTATTTATTTTTTTGCAGTGTGGAGCTTTCACATTGGCGCAAAATTTAAAATTGCAGTGACAGATTTGAGAAGTCGCAAGTGTTTACTTAGTGTTATTAACCAGCTCAATTCAGTTTTCTTCTTCAAACAATAAATGTAAAAAAAAATAAAATAATGATAATCATGCTGATATTCAAAACCATGGGCATGCTATGATACTTCATGGTGTTTATTTGTTCATCTAAATTTCATAGGTGCACAATGAAGCAGATGCATATTCTACACACCAATGAAATGAAGATAATCTTGTTACTAACAGTGTGTTTTAGTGATTTTTGGTAGTGGTGCAAATGACCAGATAAGCATACACTCTAAAAAATGCTGGGTTGTTTTAACCCAATTTTGGGTCAAATATGGACAAACCCGAAATGTTGGGTTAAAAATGTAATGTAAAAATTTAACCCAACGGCTGGGTTAGTCCATATTTGACCCAAAGTTGGGTTAAAACAACCCAGCATTTTTTAGAGTGTAGAAGCTGTCGACTTGGGCAAGTGGCATAGTGGTTTTTCATGGGCAAACCCAGGAAAAATGTACACTCTAAAAAATGCTGGGTTGTTTTAACCCAATTTTGGGTCATATATGGACAAACCTGAAATATTGGGTTAAAAATGTAATGTAAAAATTTAACCCAACGGCTGGGTTAGTCCATATTTGACCCAAAGTTGGGTTAAAACAACCCAGCATTTTTTAGAGTGTAGTTCTGATAATGTAAATGTCTAGTTTTTAAGATCTAGATCTTTTGAAACACATGTTCAGATAAATGTATTTTCCCTGTCTTGCAGGTGAACGAGTGACCCAATGAAGTGGAATACTACTTTATCGGAGTGCTGGAAGAGAAGTCACCTTGCCCCAGTTCTCCGAGAGCACAGGAGAGAGACAGACATCTCTGATTGTTTGTTGCCAGTCGGGAGACGGGAAGGTCAGTAAACAAACTAGACTGCATTTCTCCTGCCGCAGTCTGTCATTTTACCTGATGTTCAACTAATGTCAGCTCAGGAAGATATGTTTGGAACCCTGCTTGATATATCAGCGAGTGACAGCTGTCAGTGTAAACACTGCCATTTGAAATGCAACCTCAATGAATACAGATTAAGATTTGGATTATTTTGATCTTTGAGCAGAGCTGGTACAGGGTTAAAATCTACCTTTATACTATTCAGAACAAAACTGTTGAAGAAGGATCATTTGACTATTGATAAATTCTTTTGAATACTGCGTAGGCTGCACAAGTAAAACACATTTTAAAGGGATATTTCACTTCTGGAAAGATGAACGTGTGTTTAAAATGGTGCCTGCGAATCGCACAGCTTGTGCAAACATCTCTATGATTGGATTCTTCCTTAACTGCTGTCACTTTTGTTGTGTTTATTTTGTTATTGCGAGGAAAGAAAACAATAAATGTAATACAACATGATGAGGTGCTGTAATTTAGCAAAGGGGATGAAATCAGAGGTTCAGCATTAAAATCCTGAAAATATTATTGCTGTTTTAAATGTCAATGTCTTGCATATATGACCTTGACTTAAAATTGTAATAAATAAATATGGTAATCGTTTAATGCCATGGCATATGAATATGCTAATCGTTCAGTGCCTTGGAATATATCAAACTGCCCTCTGACACCTACCATGGTACCAACACATCGCTTTTTGAAGGGCAAAATCATGATTTAGTAAATTCTAGACAATTAAAGCTAGACTTAATGGTCAATCCTGATATAGAGAGTGTGCATTTTCACAGCAAGGCACATTTATCACAAAACTCTTTTTTTTTTATTTATTTATTTACTACTCTTTATTTTTGTTCCAAAGCTTCCCAGTCCTGACATTTCATTGAGTTTTGATTTATTTGATGATTGTGTTATTTGCACATGTATATGCTATCGCTTGTTTCTGTTTCTTTTTCACATGTGTTTTGACCGGGGGATTCAGTACTCTTTCAGTAGATGTGTAATTGCGCCCCCTACCACATAACAGTGAAAACACGGGAAGTGTGTTTCATCAATGGTGGGGAAAGAGTTAAAAGCAGTGTTGTAGTCGAGACCACCTCACTCGAGACCGAGTCGAGACCGAGACCAGAGAGAGTCGAGTCCGAGTCAAGACCGAGTCCATAGAGAGTCGAGTCCGAGTCGAGTCCGAGACCAGAGACGGTCGAGTCCGAGTCGAGACCGAGACCAGTGAGGGTTGATTACCTAATTTACTTTTAAATTTACTTAGAGAAATCCTTTTTTTTTTTACTGAATTTACTTAGAGTTTAAAAAAAATGATCAGTTTAGGGTAAAAAGGCCACATAGTAGGTGGTGTTAAAAGTAATTTTATTACAATTTGTCATGCGCAGTTGCGCACTAGAAAATCACCAATCCCTGGGCGTGTCAATCAATTTAAAGAAATATTTTATTAACATACATTAATAATCATGAAAAATATTTTGAATTGAACACGAGTGGACTCGGGAATAAGTCCGAGTCCTAAAAAAAAATGTTCGAGTACGAGTCAATTCCGAGTCCAAATGCACACGAGTCAAGACCAAGACCATTAAAATATGGTCTCGAGACCGAGTCCGAGTCTCGAGTACTACAACACTGGTTAAAAGTACTGTATATTACTATAAAGGTATGACTTCTAAGCGAAGAACGAAAAATAATTGTGCTGTGAGTATTGGGGCATTGAATCACACTTAGGCTTTTTCTTTTTCACGTTACAAGTTCACAAGTGCGAGCACAAGTAATAATCACTGACTACAGTTCACTAAACGGCCACCTGTGTCCGGGAAGTATATTAGCGTGCGTTATTCGTCAGTGTTCTTTAACACGTTTTTTTGTGTTCACACCCAAGGGATTTTCGCTTACGATGAGCCAAGTGAACATGCAAATTCGTTCCCTGACATTAGATGGTGCCAATTTGCTCTGCAATACCACTCCATATCTGTTTTCTCTTATCAAGATGTTTGTCACATTTGTCATATAGTTCTTTATGTTCTAGCACCAACGAGAACAGCAGCTCTACATTCATCTTGCCTTGCATTTTCCTCGTCTTATTTCTTCCTGGCTGTGTAGACGGCGACGCTACTAGACATATATCTTCTTCACCGTTGCATATGTGTGCTCGGCAAGACCGTTTTGTGTTTGAGCGCAACCCCCAAGTTGTGTTTTACTGTAACTTCAGAAGCTCCCAAGACGTGAGCAAAAGCGCCAATCTCATTGGTCGGATAGTTTTTGACGTGGCGCGTCAAACTTAAAAAACGAACCCGAGGCGTTTTTTTTTTTAAACAACACTTTTACGAGTGGCGTTTTACACTCACATTGGTCACGAGGCGTTAAACATCGGCGTTAAACATAACGCATGCAAAATTCGTCCCGTTGTGAACGGGCCTTCAGGGTACTAGGGTTACATACGTAACCGAGATGTTCCCTTTCAAGGGAACTTGTGCTGCGTCGAAACTCTGTGGGAACGCTAATACCCATGTCGCCATAAGAGCAAATGTCCGTCCGTGTAAAGTCAGAGTGCACAAAAGCACCTGCACCCCTAGAGTAGAGCTGATCGTAGACCCTCACGAATGTGTGTGTTGAGGACCAGCCGGCCGCATCACAATCATCATGTTGGGAAACTCCTTACAATAAAGCTTTAGAAGCAGCCATACTCATAGTCGAGTGAGCTCGTACAGCCAAAGCCGACTCAAACTCCCACTTGCTCAACCTCTGCTTTGATGCAGGACGCCCCTTCCTGGGTGACCCAAAACAAATGAACAGATTTAATCCACAGGGAAGCTCTGTGGACATAAGCATCTAGGGCCCAGAGCAGATTTAGTTTCTCTTGGTCTGATGTCAGAAGGTGTAACAATATTAGTAGGGACCTTGGGAAACTTGGCCTGGATTAGGATGAAGGAAGGCCTTAACCATGCCGGACGAGAATTCCAGGCACGAGTGATAAACCGAGAGTGCTTGAATGTCCCCTATCCTTTTGAGAGATGAAATCGCTAGAGGAATGTATTTATCAGAAACTATACATTTCTGATATTGTTCAATGTTTAAACTAAAGCCAGAAAAGACAAAGGGTTTCTAAAACATTTTCGTATTGCAGTGGTGATTGCAGCTGGTTCTTGTAGTATATAGACGACTCACAACAGGAAGCGGTGGGCTTTAATTGCCTCCCAACAGATTGCTGGCTCAGAGAGAAAGCGGGTTAATTGTGTGGGCTGGAAAAGCCATTTCATGACCTTTATCAAGCATTACCAAACACAACATTTCTGAAGCTTTAATGTTTACAGGTTTGCCTCCTAGTGTGCATGAAATGAGTTGGCTAGCTTCCAAAATAAAAAGGCCACTCCTTTTATATAACATTAATTTGTAAACAAAGTGACACACTGGACATTATAAGAAATGGTGCATCCATATACGGTCAGGTTTAATATTTATTATACACACTCTAAAACATGCTGGGTTGTTTTCAACCCAAATTTGGGTCAAATATGGACAAACCCAAATGTTGGGTTACAAATGTAATAAAAAAATTACAGTTGATGTTAACTTACTTTTTTAACCCAACATTTGGGTTTGTCCATATTTTACCCAAATTTGGGTTAAAACAACCCAGCATTGTTTAGAGTGCAGGAAAATGTTGATACAGTCATGTTTAACTATTTTGGAGATAATTAAAAAGAAAAAAAACAAAACAATGAAGTTTGGCAGAAGCATAACTAAAATCATGTATTTCCAGTGAGCCTGGGTTGGATTTTCACTGGGTTGGAAGTGTAAAAAACAGTGTTAAAAGTCATGAAACCGCACATCAAATTATAGCGCATTTTAAGACACATTTAACTACAAAATATCATACTATTAAATTATTAAAGGGGACCTATTACACGCCATCTGACGGCCAGATTTCTGAGTTCGGTGCTTCAGATGTTTAGACTGATAACGCTTTAAAACACATGCAGCGAGCGAGCGGGACCCTTATATTCGAGATGATAATCAAAACCAAACAGGTGTTTTCGTTTTTTGAAAGAGTATCTGAGGCACTTCTGGAAATTGGGACCGGATTGGATTTAAAGACACATGCACACAGCATGTTTTTCCTTTCACTCAAAAATGCCCCTTTACAACATGGTATAATATCTGTGGGGTATTGTAAGATGAAACCTCACAGAAACATTCTGGAAACACCTGAGACTTGTAAAAAGTGGCATAATTGGTCCTCTTTAAATTTTTAAATGCATATTTTAACCCTTGTGCATCAATTAAAAAAAGTTACACATAGGTAAAAAGAGGACAAAAATGTCCATGTCAAAAAACTGTCATAAAAATGTGACGCTTTGGAGCACAGACTTAAGTTTGGTATCATTTTAAAGAAGACCCTTTGCAGATTATTGCTGAAGTAAAAAAAATAATAATAAGTAAATCCCAAAAAAAGTTATATAGGTATAAGTTTATGAAAATTATTTATAAAATAATATTTTATATAAAATATATATTTTTTAAATCAGGTTGAACTCAAAACTACAATAAAATCAAAGCTATAAATCTAAATAGGTTGTGTTCAAAATTTGAGGATGATATCTCAAAAAATGAGCTTTGGTAACAGTTTGTTTGGGCGTAGTAACATATTTTCCCCATTGGGTCCCAGCAAAACCCCACTGGAGCTCACAGTGATTGGATCTGAATTTGCAGTTTTTCTCTCTCAGTCTGACAAACACACACATGCGCACACACACACATATTTTTTTATAACACACATACTAACCACACTCTGACATCCATACCAACACACCCACACAAATATCGTTGCATAATTTATCCAGTTGGCTTTAAAGTATGCCGAACCAGAAAACAGGAATAAAGCGACATTTGTTTTATAGGCCAAACTTAAAAAAAAACGACACCATCTGATAAAAAAAATAGTAAAAAATAAAATTTTGAAGCCT